GAAGGACAGAACAAGGGGCAGGAGTTCCAGGAACAGCTCAGCAGCACTGAGGATTGCTGGTGAATATCAATATTTTGTTGAGAATCTAAAAATGAATTGTTTCACAGAGGTGTTCAAAAATGTAATGGGCTATCTGGGGAGGGAGTGAGCTCCTTATCACTGGTATTATTTAAGTATTGGCTGAATAAAAATATACTGAAAAGTCATGCATAAGGCGAGTTGGACTAAGGGCCCTAAGATCCATTTCAACTTACAGATTTCATTATTTGCAGATCCTCGGTTTACCCTGTGTATGCGTCTGTGCTTGGACTTACCATGTTGTTCTGTAATGATACATTCATATGCATGTCTCCCTGACAAGCTTGAAAACTACTTGAAGAAAGGAACAATATTTGTCATTTTTCTATTTCATGTGTTTAATGCAATGACTAGTACCTAGGAGACACCAAGTCAGTATTTATCAAATGAATGAATGAATGAATTCATTTTTGTATGTCAATATATACACATTTATGTATATCCTGATTTATACTGTAAGTTACCAGTAAATACACTTGTTTGCTGTGATGGTGTTCATATGCATTAGAACCAAGAGTTGTTTGAATACCTGAATGATGGAATACGCTTCCTAAATCCTCAGACATGGTACTTCTAGTTAATTAATTCCCTTTTTACAGATTGGGCCATATAATAGGAGTTAAGGCACAGCCAATGTGTGACCAGGGTTTTTCTGAATTTATATTTCTAGATCAAGTCTACAGTGCCAGAAATGGCCCTAGAAGTGATGGTTAGAGGTCCCAATGTAACCTGACTGCATTAGGTGGCACGTGTCTCCTGTGGGTAACCAAGAATTTAAATTCATCCCAACCTTGGGGAAGGAGGCAGGAGTGTGAGTGGCAGGGACTCCTGTGGCATGCTGGGTAGAAAGGCTGGTGTCTAAGCTGAAGTGTGAGAAGAGGTGGGGGAATCTCAGCAAGTTAGACTGGATAAGGAGGCCAGAATGGGGCAAAGAAGCAGAGGCACATAGGGTGTGGTTTTGAGATGGAAAAATTTTCAGAGAAGCTGAGGCGATGGGTGAGGTTGCAAAAAGAGTACGTTTTAAAAAGACTTGTTAGCTGAAATACACTTGTGCCAAACAGCACTATTCATTCATGTAGTCATTCATTCAGCAAATCTATATTGAGTGCCTACATTATGATAGCACTGTGCAAATGTTAGGGTCAAATACAAATAAAGTAGGATCCTTGCTCTCAAGTACATAACTTGAACTAAACTATAGACATATTAACAGAAAATTGCAACGCAGTGTGATAAATGCTATAATAAGATAAGCACAGGGAGCCTGTGGAAGCCTCTCAGGAACACATAACCAAGTCTAAGATGAGATGTGAAGGATAAGTTGGAGTTAGCAAGGTGAAAAGGGTAAGCAGGAAGAACAATATTGCTAGAGCTCTAGGAATGGCTGAATATACAAAAGGGAGCTTATTCAGGGACTGCAAATGCCTTGTAATAGTTGTGTGTTATATACCATGTTAAATAGTCCGGACTTTCTCCTGGAAGCAAAGAATAACTGGAGTATTTTAATGCAGAAGTGACATGATCAGGTGTATGCTTTAAAAATACTACTACAACTAAATTGTGGAGAAGGGGTTGGAGGAAATGAAGAGCAGGCACTCCCTGAAGTTGTCACAGTGCTCAGTGGGAGGGAGATGATGGTAGTTCAACAAAAGGTGAGGCAAGGAAAACAGAAGCAGATAAATTATTGAGACATTTGAAAGAATGGACAAAGCATGGTGATCGGCTGGATGGGAGATGTAATAAGTCAAGGATGGCCAAGTTTCTGGCTTGGGCAGCTGGGTAGATGGCTCTAGAGGTAGACCCGTAAAAAAGGAGGATGTGTCAGTTTCAGGAGAGTTCTGGTCTAAGGGAGCCAGAGGGTTAAACCTTCTTAAATCCAAAGGGCCACTCTGCTGGTCTGTCTCACACCACTCTATCAGTGTAGAAAAATATCCTTTCAGAGCTTTATGAGATCTACTACCTGGGTCAGGTCCTCACCGACTCTAGGCATTATCATTTATTCATCCATTCAATCAACCAATATTTATGAAATGCCAATTATGTATTCATAGTATTCCAGTATTCTATAGACCCCAATATCCATTTATTCAGGTAGCTTAGTTCTAAAAGAGTGACTCTCAAAGCCAGAATTATAGCTGTAAGTTTCTGATAGTCTTTCCCACTCACCTCACCCCAACTTATCAGGCATATTAGTGTTTGTGCTGTCATTCACTGCTTTAGCGGAAAGTGTTTCTTCACTTCCTGTTTCCATGGTTGCATGATGTTTTTACATTAAATTCTCATGGTTCCATTAAATTTTAGTTTCTTCTTCATGGACTTTGTCTATGGCAGAGTTTTGACTTGGGTGGAGGTGAAATACCTAATAGAAATTCTTTAATAAGTTATTTTATATGGCCAGAGGCCTGAAAACTCTTTTCTAGGAGCCAGAGTCTCCTGAGCAACTCTGGGGCCTCCTGTGGTTCAAGGGACGTGTTGGAATTTCAGTCACAGGTGTGATGGATCAAAGCCTTCCTCAAAATACTTGTGTTTGATGCCATTTCAATTTACATTTAGTGCTTGGTTTTCCCAAGATGAGGTGTGAAATTCAAGCATCAGAGAAACCAGCAGGAGTTGCCAGTTGAAGTTAATAAAACACTTATCATGAGCCTATGTAGTTCAGATTAATAAAATAAAACCATGAATGTGAGAACCTAAGCTCACACATTCATATATCTTGTAAATCTGTTTCCTGAAAGCCAGAGGGTGCCTAGGCCACTGGGCCAAGAGAGATGGGGAATCTACTTTGAAAACCATTCTTCGGTTAATCACTAAAGCCTATTTTTGTCAAAGCTCTTGGAATCTCTATTTCACTTCTCAAAGATACTGCAAAGATTAATGAAGTGATTTTGAATTACCTGCCGTAAATAAGTGTTGCTTTTTAAGGATGTAGTATTATTATTAATGTTATTTCATAATCAGTGAAGATATAAAATGTTTGATATTTAGTTCAGTTCATTAAATGATACCAGTGTGATTATGGCCCAAGACTGGATTTCTACTCCAGACATGTTTTTAGTTTTGCACAGAGAATGTGTCTTGTTCGATAGCAGACTACTTCTAGCCTCAATCAGCCACCTCGCATGTGCTGATGTCTCAGTTGGCTAATGGATAAATAATGCAGCTTCCTCAATCCACTGACATAGGTGGATTGGTAGATAGGTAGATAGGTAGGGTAGATAGGTAGCCTTTGCATGTGAAAGCATATTACTATAGGCTGCAAGTCTTGGAAGCCTGAACAGGTCTTTGCAAGCGAATATTAAGCCCAGAGAAAGTAACTGGTTTGCCCAAAGTCACCCAATTAATGCAGAGTCAGGGCTAAAATCTGGATTTATTAATAAGTCCAACGTTCTCACTATTGCACTGTGCCACATTTACTCCAGTCTAGAATTCACCTCTAAAACGTTTGGGTACTTGTAGCCGGGCGCGGTGGCTCATGCCTGTAATCCCAGCACTTTGGGAGGTCGAGGTGGGCGGATCACAAAGTCAGGAGTTTGAGACCAGCCTGACTAACATGGTGAAACCCCGTCTCTATTAAACATACAAAAATTAGCTGGGTGTGGTGGCACACACCTGTAATCCCAGCTACTCAGGAGGCTGAGGCAGGAGAATCTCTTGAACCTGAGAGGCGGAGGTTGCAGTGAGCCAAGATCACTCCACTGTACTCCAGCCTGGGTGACAGAGTGGGACTCTTATTTCAAAAATAAACAAACAGAAAACAAAAAAACTTTTGGGTACTTGGATTCAACGCAAATTGCTAGAGAAGCAGTATCCAATAAAATGCACTACATTCTTTGGTATTTCCTAGTATTTTATCAGATATTGCTATTTGTTTGGTGCATCTCACATGGGTATCATACTTATCTAGGCAGACAGCCAAAAAGCAACAAGTCAATCTACCATGTCTTCTGTCTGGCAGGCAGTGCAGGAACCTGCAGGGCAACTCTGAACAGCATTCTAGAGACTAAATCAAGCCAGCTGGGCTGATTACAGCAAACGATGATTGCTGCCTATCCTAATTAGGCTGACAGGACTTCTGCTATGTGGACAACCCACTAGCTGCATTCACAGATGTGGTGAATCAGTCATGTTCAATTATTCAACCACTTTCATTTGGGAACCTGCTACATGCAGAGGGTTATCAAGATCTCTTTGTAATATGGGCAAGAGTTTGGTCATGAGTTGTAATCAACCCACATATAGTTTGCCTATAGAGAGATTCCTCAGGCTGGCCTTCTCAGCAGTGGCCAGTGGGGTGGAAATGATCTTTTTTGCAAAAGCCAAGAGCCCTTGTGACTGTGTCTTTCTATCACAGTTTTCAAGAGGAAAAGGAAAATTGGTCTCAATGGTCCTTCTTGGCTCTGAAACGTTCTTTTAAAATAATATTTATTGCATACATTTTTCCGATTACAAAAGCAATACATGTTCATTGTTGAAAATGCAGAAAATTACAAAGATAAAAAGTAGTCATAATTCTAATACAATGAAAACTGCTTCCAACTTCTTAGTTCAAATTTTTTCAGTCTGTTTTTTAGTCAAATGGAGGAGTATATATCTTTTAAATGAAATTGAGATCCCATTATATCCTGCTCTGAAATTCTAGGAGCCTATAAAGTATATAAAACTAAATAGTAAATTTCTTGCTCAAAGCCTGGCATACTATAGTCATTCCATAAACATCTGTTAACAGAATGGAGAGGAAAACTTGGTTTGTGGGCTTGAGAACTTCACACTCAGGCCTTGCCCAAATCTAGACAACAAGCTTTGTGTGCCAAAGGAATGAAATGAGCTAGAAACCGACCACTTTTCTTTAAGAAAGCTTCCCTTTCCCAAGAGAACATCGACTGTAATTCATACACCTTTTTTGTATTCATTGTGTATTTCAGGAGACTGCTTCCATTTGATGTGAAAGCTACACATACATACAAGGGACTTGCTGGAAGCATGGACCTCAGTGAAAAATGGACTTTGGAGGAAGGAACCTGGTTATCCCATGCTGGAATTCATCCTTTTGCCAACACCAGAGAGGGTATGGCCGTTTTTGATGTGCCTTATAGCATGGTTCTCCTCAGCTTCTGCACCTCATTATGTCAATCTGCTGTACTCAATAAGTGCCCAGGCTGTTTGTCTTTTCAAAAGCAGCCAAGTGGAAAGGAGAGGGAATGGATTTTGAATTCAGACAGACCTGGGTTCAGATCCTGAATTCACTACTTAAAAGTTTTGTGGCTTTGAGAAAATCTGTCATTCCCTGGGCTCTAACATGAGAGTATGAATGCTCACTTTGCAGGGTTACGATGAGGACCATCAGCTGTTATTTAATGAGCCCTCGCCTTGGCCAGGTGGGAAGCTGGTCAGAGATCTTTGAGCACCTAACATATGTCAGGCACTGTGTTCCTGTTTTGTTCATCTCTCCTCTTAGCAACCTGCAAACATTCAAGTTGAGATAAAGCAACCAGTCTAAACAGAGTAGTCAGCTCTTTACCTTCTTTATGATTATCCGATTAATGTGACTCAGCATTAAATGGTGGAGATATTGTTACTTTCCTGGAGCAGAGCATTCAAATGCAAGAATCATAATCTGACACAGAGCTGTGGTCCTCTATCAGGTCTAAGAATCCATTCTCTCTTCCAGCCCTCAAATCTGATAGAGACCTATTTTGATGGTAAGAGCCATTCTATAGATGGGTGATGAAAGGCTGCTGAGGTTAATGCACTCACAGATGTTTTCACAGGGATCTGTCTCCCATTTGTTTGTTGTTTATTCATTTACTTGACAAATATTATTGAGCATCTATTTTATGCCAAGCACTGGTAATACAAGAGAGAGCGCCAGATTGACATAGAGAACAGCAGACTGTACTCTCTGATGTGCCCACCTCTAAAACAGGGGAACTTATATGGCAACAAACATTTGCAGATCTTCTGCACTACACCAGGGTATGTCTTCCAACCAAGATTGCTGCACACAATGAGATCGTTTCCAAAGGGAAGGCAGGAAGCTTTGAGAAAGGAAATTTGGATGCATTCCACCCCAAAATCAATTGTTATTTGTTCCTGTGCAGTGTCACGCTGTCATTCTAGCCACATTTTAGAAGTCCTCAAGCCAGCATCTCTTCACAACCCATGGAAAAAAGCTGAACCTCCCTAGCTCAACACACAGCCCTTTAGGACCTGACCTCTGCCTGCCTCTCTAGTTGCATCTCCTGCTGCTCATCACTAATAGCAATTCCCTCCCTCTCACTGTGTCAACCACTACCTGGATCCCTGAATACATCCTGCCCTCACACACCTGTGAATCTTGGCAAAGGCTGCTATTATCATGTCTCTTCCACTTGGCCAGTTCCTACTCATCTTTGAAGCTTCTGCTTAAGTCGTCTGTTCTGGGATCTCTTCCTGCCGCCACCTCCTACCAACCCCCAACCTGGTCTCAAGGAGAGTCCCTCCTCCCTCCTCAGTGCTGCCACAGCCCCTGCAGATTCCCCTGTCACAGCACATATCACACTGTATTTTGCTTGTCTGTATCCTGAACAGCCTGTGTGCTTCTTGAGACAGATGCCTTGTTTTATTCATCTTTGCATCCCTTTAACTGTAACATGGCTAATTTGTGGTGTATATTTGATGGCTGGATGAATGAATGAATAACAATTGGGACCACATCCTCTAAATATCTCTGACTTCATTGAAAGCCCTTTTTTTTTTGGCTGTGGGAACCCATCTGATTGTATAACTGCTTCTGGCATCACGACATCACTTCACCTTGCTTTCAGCACATCTGTAGCATTTGATTCAATGACCCTAGGCTTGTTACCAAAGCCTAAAGGCAGAGGAGAGAAAGAAAGTGTGGTTTTCCCACTGGTGCTTGCTGCTTTTGTAACCTAGGCAATAGAATCATCCATCAGAGAATTTCAGAACTGAAAGAAGCCTTAGGGATCAAAGTGGTGGCTAAAAACTGCACACTGTGACCATCTCCAAGCACTGCCTTGTCCCTCTGTGAGTTTACCACGTCATCTATCTGCAATCTTTGGGGCAAGGCTGGAAAATAGGAAGGGAAGGTCTGCCTAAAGGCGAGGCATCACTCTTGGGTAAGTGATAAGCTGCTGGGGCTGAGGGAAAAGCTTAGTTCTGTAGGCAACAGATACAGTAATACCAGGTTCCAGTTCAGATAATCAGTCTATATGCTGCAAGGATGAAGTCATCCAAGACAAAGTATAGCAGTGTTGTGGTAAGTGAGTGAAGCACAGACATAAGGAATTAATGTGGCTGAAATTTGAAAATCCTTGTGGGCAGCTGGTATTACGGTGGTTCTCAGAGGCCGGGGCTGAGATTCAGGAAAGGTGCAGGTCCTTAGAGGACTGAGTCAGGTGCCAAAATGGGAACCTAATGAAGTCTTGAAGTGGGATAAGGAAACTGGCACTCAGAGATGAAGTGTGCTGTGCCAGAGCCAGGTCAGAAATGGACAAATTATAGAAAAATATTTTTTTTTTTTTTTTTTTTTTTTTTTTTTTGAGATGGAGTTTCGCTCTTGTTACCCAGGCTGGAGTGCAATGGCGCGATCTCGGCTCACCGCAACCTCCGCCTCCTGGGTTCAGGCAATTCTCCTGCCTCAGCCTCCTGAGTAGCTGGGATTACAGGCACGCGCCACCTTGCCCAGCTAATGTTTTGTATTTTTAGTAGAGACGGGGTTTCACCATGTTGACCAGGATGGTCTCGATCTCTTGACCTCGTGATCCACCCGCCTCGGCCTCCCAAAGTGCTGGGATTACAGGCTTGAGCCACCGCGCCCGGCCAGAAAAATATTTTAAGCATATATTAGGTATATAATTTTGCAAGATGATACACTAAGCCTTTTTTGTATATCTATCTATCTATCTATATATATATAGACTATCTCAATTAATTCTCACAACAGCTTTATTCTCATTTCATGACTGAAGAAACTGAGCCTGAAGAGGCTGAGAAACTTGTACATCATTCAGCTCACAAATGGCAGAGTTGGAATTTGAATTGAGGTCAGTCCAATCCTAGCCACCATAAGCTACTGTCCCTCAAATTCTTTCTCCCACATTCGCTACCCTACCTTCACAGCTTAAGGCTCTGGTGGTCCAGTTACAAACTTGTATTGCTAGTTATTTGCTTGTCACAGCTGAAATGAGAACTAGCCCTGAGCAGGGCCAGAAAACAAACAGTACTGTTTTAACATGTGCATTCTCATCCAAGCCCACAGCACGGCTCTCCCCTACAGCCATCTTAGCTCATGCATTGCCAAGGTCTTGACCCACTTGCTTTAAAGCATCTTTCTTTGATACTTCATTTTCCCACCTTACCTCTCCCCACCACTGGCTAGTGCCGGCTGTTCTATCTCTGAGGCTCAATATGGACTGGTGGGGTTTGCATTTCTAGTGAAGTACCAGGAAAAGCCCTGGAGTGTCCAAGCTTCAAGGTTTTGTTGTTGGCTTCCTGTAGTCCTCAGAGAATTGCATTATCTGCCAGGGAGACTCAGTCATTCTGTTGAGTCATAGGCCTTGAGGCAGATCCACACATCTGCCCTTGTCTTATCCTCACAGCATCTCCAGCTGTAATTGGGTAGGAGAGCTTCCAGAAAGCTGGCTGTGGAGAGCCCAGGATGCCTGAGGGTGATAAGGAGTTTCTGAAAAAGTCCCGCTTTCACTCCTGCTTCTGACACTCTTAAAAATATTTCCAATGAGTTAGGCCAGTGGGTTTTCAAACTCATTTTAAAGGGCTAGAGCACATTTTTCAAAAGAAATCATATGCAGTCCCTGACATACAAAACAAAAGGGAGACAGTGTTTGGCCACTGTCGCATTTCTGACTGTTGCATTGTAAGTTGATTGGGCCGTTCAGCCTCCAGCCACATCACGTATGTGGGGATTTGGTACGGAAGGGGGGGCCCTTCTCAGCAAATCTATAAAGTATTTCTTTCTCCTCTTATAGATGTGCTCACTCAGCTGTTTGGGAACCATGCTGTCATCCACACTTCCCAGGGAGCTCAACCTGCTTAAGCTCCTCTTTAGGGGAGAAGCAGGAAGTCTGGGAAACACAGCCTGGCAGCGTGGGCCAGGTGCGTCACAGAAATTCAGTGGTACTGTTCCCATTATGGTTATATAAACAGGAAGGAACAGATTTCCTTTCTGCAGCCTCTCAGGGTTAGGGAGAGTTTTAACACTGGTCAAGGAGGAAGGAGGCAACTTTTCCTGAGAGCAGTCTGTGTGCCAAGCATTGCCATGTACATGATTTCATTGCATTCAAACCCTTATTGAAATCTTGCGAAGTAGCTAGTCTTGTTTCCATTTTGCAGATGAGAAAACTGAATCTTGCAAAGGCAAAGTAACTAAGCCCAGCTCAGGCAGCAAATGGCAGCAGAGCTCACATTCACACTCAGATCTTTATGCTCCAGAGCTGTGTTCTATCCTTTTTACTTCTGTCTATCAGTTTCTAAGGGCAAGATTATTCTACATCTCCACCTTTCTGAGAAGTTGATCCCTTTGTCTATTTTTCTTGCAAACTCTGTAGTAAACAGATGCATATAATGGAATCCATTATCTGTGATCTCCTACGCACTTGTTTTAATTAGTTTCATAAAGTCCATCATCTGTTTCAATTTTCATTTTACAGAGGAGGGCACAGTCTAAGCAGTTTGGGACACTAAAGATTAGTGGCAAAACTAGGGCTATAGCCCCGGCTTCTGCTGCTCCTCCCACCACCCACACTATGCTGATTGCTAAGGCAATAGCTTCTTGGGAAAACCACTTTACTGTGAAAGAAGAGAAGCCTCTGTGTGGTCCAAGAAGACTCTATTTGCAGCTCTGAAAGAAGCGATTCCTCTTCAGCCCTCTGCCTTAGATGCTGGGGTGGAGATGTAAGATCGTGGTCTCTGCATTTCAGCAGAAACTCACATTTATCTTACAGATTTTGCTTTTTAATAGTTTAGTCATAGATTTCAACTGCAGCAAATGTTTTTGTCCTTAATACTGGGTATTTTGTTTGATTTCACTGAATCGATCTAACTGAG